TTAACAGTCCCACAGCGAACAGCTTGACCGGAGTACGTGTCAAAATGACATCATTCAGGCACGCTGACTGTATTTAACTGTGTGAATCTTATTGTTGATTTATTTCATTTCCTGTATTCTATGTTTCCATACATACATTTCCCCCACAGTGTTTTATTATAGTATGTGCCTCACCTCGCCTGAAATAAAGAACGCCTCTGTTAACATCAGAAGAAACTGTTACATTTGTATTAAATATTTTATACTGATTAGGCTTCAGGGTAGGGCTGCACAATTCATTCAAATATTATCAGAATCACAATATGGCCAAGTGCAATATCCAAATTGCAGAAGCTGCAATTTTTTCATAAAAGGTAAATATGTGACAAAACAGCATTATAATAAAGTACTGCAGTGCTGCAGAGATCCTCTCACCTACAGAGCTTGTTCTCCAGTGATGTGATAAAACACGTTTGGTCATGATTTTTTTATTGGGGGGAGTTTTCAGTGAAAAGTAAAATTGTGATGCAAAAATTATAATTTCCACACATGAATCATAAATCACAAAATAAAATCCATCAAAATAATTACAATCTGATTTTTTTTTTTTTTTACCATACTGTGCAGCCCTTCAGGGAACAGACAGCAGATGATCATCGTATATTTACTGCACAATAATTAATCAAACTTTATCCAGGAGGAAGTTAGTTTAATAATCACCAGCTGGACGCTCATGTTTTACAGGCTAAAGTTGGTTTTAAGTTCATATTGACCAGCTGGAGTTTGTATTGCCACTGTGATCAGTTGGGGTGGGGAGGACACATGCAGCCTAACTTGCTTTAATCAAACTGTTTATCCAGAATCCTCCGTTTTAAAAGGAGCTAGTTATATGATCAGAGCGGTGTGTATTAATGAACTGTGTGTCCCCTGTTATACATAACTGAAATGTCTACTGTGACTGATTTGCACTACTTGATATTGTCATTTGACTTTGAGCGGAGTCTGCTTCTGACCTTTGTATCGACTACACAGCCAAAGTTTTATTATTATTCCCGATGAGTCGAGCTGCAGGCTTTGATCAGCATCTCAATTTTATTCTGTGAATATCACACAGCTTCTCAAGTCTGCCATTAATCACAGGCAGCTTGTTTGGACTTTCTTTGAAGAAATGCTTGTTCTTTTGACACACCATGTTCCTTTTTAAAAACCTATGTGACAATGGTGTCATGCTGACAGTCACAAGACATATTTAGTGGAATTTGCGCCCTTCACCTGCCTCGTGACTTCCTGACCTTTTTTCCTCTCTGTCTGTCAGCATACCGACCCTGCTATCCATCTCCTCATCTATCCATCGGGGCTTTCTTTCTAGGTTTCTTATCTGTAAGGAAGTTACAGTATAGACTACAGACGCTCTCATCCTGTCTGTCACCTGCGGGCCAGGAAAACTATTGGCTCTAATCTTGTATCTCTCAGCTGTTGCCACGGTGAGTGGGTTTCCAGGGCCAACCAACAGCTTTATCTCTGACCTGCAGAGGAAAACCTGGGAGACCCTATCTCATGCACACACACACACGATAGGACACCTGCACACAAAACACATGCAAAAGTACACCACCCTGCCAGACATCGTACCACACACACACACACACACATACACACACACACACAGAGCGAGGTGTATGTGTGCTGTTTTTATTTCTGGCACAACAAGCAGGTGCAGCTGTGCAGGTGTACATATGCGCACATGTATGTAATCTTGTCAATACATCCAAACACGTGCAAAGGTGAGACACACACACACACACACACACACACACACACACACACACACACACACACTCACACAGACTCCCAGCAAGCAGAAATTGTGACGATGACAAGTGGTTCAGCTCTAAAGACTGAGATAGGACCAGAATATTCTTTATCACTTGACGGTGCACGGCTTAATTTTAGGGACAGTTTTTTATAGTCTAGCCTGAAAGATTTAACAGCCGACTCTGCCGCTGCATTTACTCTCACACACAGAGTTAACTCCACTGGAAAAAAAAAAAGGACATTACACAAAAATACTGAAAGAACCTATATGTTGACTTTTTAAATCTCAGTTCTATACAGAGAAAAGGTAAAATAAATGGCATTTATGTCAGACACGATAAACACTACGGTGGCTAAAAGTAAGTGCTGGAATTGAAATGAGGAATAAAACTTTTGCGAGTGAAAATGCAGCTCAGTAGAGCTAAGCAAATTTGCATTTAATCAATTTGAAAAAAGGTTTTAATGCAAAGTTAGTTGCCGAGACATCGTATCCACACACACACACACACACACACACACACACACACACACACACACACACACACACACACACACACACTCCAAGAACTCATCACTCCAACGACGTTTCATTGTGCAATCCATCTTAATCAGCTAGCCCATCAGAGACAATATATCCTCCCCTCCATCCCTCTCTCCTTCTCTGGACGGAGTGATTGAGGGGTGTAAAGAGGAGGATGTTTCTGCCCGCCGTCTCCTCCTCCCATACCCCCACACTTCCCTCCCCCCTCCTCCTCACCAGGACGGCTCTTAAGTGCTTGTGGGTTTTTATGTTTGTAGTGTTTTATAGGAGTGGGCAGGAGCCAGAGGCTGTAAAAGTGTGGAAGGGGGGGGGGGAGAAGGAGGAGTGGAGAGTTACTGTAAATCCAATCTTTATTGAGAGCGACACAAACAACAAACAGTGCCCGCCCAGCCTGCCTGCAACGCCCTGCTTACCTGATCAATCAGCGCTGACTGACGGAAGGAGAGAGAGAAGGAAGGAAGGAAGGAAGGAAGGAAGGAAGGAGGAAGCAGGGTGGAGCAGCATATTACTTTGTTTTACCTGTTAACTCAAAGGTTTCCACTGCTTCTGTGTCTGCCTGTATCCATGCACACAAGTGTGTCTCTTAATGCATGTGTTTGTTTTTGTGTGTCACTGCGCAGTTAATTGCTAACCACCAGCCAGGCCTGGAAGCCCCCCTCCCAGCCTGCCTATCAGTCTGCCACTATAGCGTAAAGCTGGCTTCAGCTGAATGTTTGCTGGGTTCGGGCTAAATTATTCTTCAAGGCCTTTCAGAATAGCCAGGAAAAAAACACCCACAACACTCCCCTCCACATGTCAGAATCCACAGGCACTGTTTTGGCTGCTCTCTAACGCTGATGCTTTGCTGTTAGATCTGCAACAGGAGAATCATTTTGCCAGCAATTTTCTAAATGAGCGTAACTAACTGTCTGTTTTTGTAATTGTTCTCTTGTCCCTCGATTTCCGCTCGCTGCTCTTTTATTTTAACCTCATATCTCTTTAAGTGCGACTGACATCACTCAGAGCCTCTTAGTCAATCAGTTAGTCATCGAATGAAAAGGTCAGCCGCTTAGTCAACAAGATGACCACAGAGGCGGTCAGCTGGCCAGTCAATCAGTCAGATCGAAAAGGATGATTGGACTCTGCTGCCCAAAACCCCTTCGTGAGTAGCCTGTACCTGCTTGTTGCCATGGTAATGCAGTCCGAGACCTAAATGCTAGCCTGTGTCCCCTCCCTGCCTCTCTTTTATCCTCTTCTTTTCACTCCTCCAGACTCTCCCCTCGCTTTTTTGTCAGTCGGCGCGCTGATTCTCTCTCACGCTCTGTCTCTCAGTCATGTTTCCTCTGGCACTGTTGTGTTTTTCAGTCTGCCTCCCTCACCTTGCCTCGTCCTCTCTGCTAAATGACACTTTACTAGCCGTTTCCTCTTGTTAATTCCACGCCACTTTGCATGGTGCGACTCTGTAAAACACTTGTAAAACACGCAAAGTCGCCTCTACAGGCACACGGAGACAAATTACAATTACTTACTGTATACACACATAATTACTTTAACATTTGCAGGCAGATGCATGCATGAATGCTTGCGAGGACACACAAACACTAGCAATAATGGCATAAATGAGAGTCAACGATCAACATATTCACTGTCTGCTGGCACAGCTTACACCTGCTGACAGTCAGCTGCCAATGAAGATCTATCATTTTCTGCTAAAGCCTCATCATCAAGCATCATTTAGGCAAGTTGGCCTGCCTCACTCTCCCCTGATACACCGTCTGTGCCAAGATAACGATTAAATTTCCCCCAAATGCCCAAACAGCCTTGTGGGAAAAGGTCTTCAGTAAATGAACTGGCTTTGGGCTCCATCTAATGGTCACTAGAAAGACTTTAATTCCACTTGTATGAGCTGGAAAACAACAACTGGTGTCTCTACTGTCACCGACAGATGATTTTTCATAGCTTTGACCGTTTTCTACCTTCACAAAACAACAGCTATCCCTACTGTCGATTTAATCTAAGGAGTTGGTATTTTTAAAAGGTCACCTCAGTTTAACTCTGGTTATTTTACATTCAATTCAATTTCAAAGCAGTCTGCCCATAATCCGTTCAGTACTGGGACTCTACATAAATGCGAGCTCCGCTTTCAGCTTTCTTTGCCTCCTTTTGAAGTTTCCAGGGAGACAGTCAACATCCTTCTGATCCTAAACCCTTTTGTTGCTCTTACATTCACATGTAGTGTATGTTCTTTAACGAAAACCTCACAGTACAAACGTGTGTAACCATATAAAAGCCCGTAGCTGTCCCTCCCACACACTGAGAAAACATACCCATAATCACAGCACAAGCCGCCCTCACAGGTGTTGTTGTGATAAATTTATGTACAATATATGCACATTGATGCACAAACAGACTGGGGGCCGCACTGAGTTTAGCACCCAGTTTTTTTTAATCCATAATCCTTTTTCATATTTTCCTTCTGTTTGGCTTTCTTCTTCATTTTGTTGTTCTTGTTTCTTTATTCCCCCTTTTATTTATTTTGTTGCAAATAGAAAAAAATAAAATGATGTTTTATCTATTTCTTCATTTTATTTGATCACATGAAAAAATAGATCATTGGTGACCCTGTTGGACTACTAACCTACACATTGATCCAACTACAGACAAACACTCATTCACACACACATACCTGCATTGACAATAGCGTCTATCTCCAGCTTGGTGATGTCTCCGCTGTAGAGAGAAATCTTCTGGTCTAATTTTTCATTCCTCTGGTAGAGAGGTTTCTCAGAACATCCTGATAATGAGACACATATACAGCACATTCAGTCTCAGGATCAGTTTTATTTACCAAGATTCATGTCTTGATAGTTTGTTCTTGGTTTACTAGTCTAAGGTGTTAAAACTGATGTGTTAGGTAGTAATATGGTGAAATTGAGCCACACTAACAATATTTCAAAATTGCTTTCTTTACAGCAGTTTGGATTTTAATACGATACTTCTGACATATTGCGCATTGCTGCTGTAATCTATTATAACCTACAGTGAAAAGACTACACAGGTTTAAACTTGGGGTTACCAGACAAACACAAACTAAGATATACTGTACCTAGTCCATGTATTTGAGCCCTTTTCTAGGTGTAAAAAGATAAACATTTAATTGTTTGCTTGCACGTCTGTGTCAAATACAGGACAAATGTTTTCCATATTGGTTAGAAACAAGCAAACAAAATAAAGACAGTTGGAAGCACTTTGCTTGAAAAAAATTACAATATTTATTGAGACTTCTAATATGTGATAATAATCTAATTCAGTATGTTCCCTTTTTTTGCTTTGTACTTGTAAACATTAGAAGTGTATATTATGTATGAATACAACACATTTTGCACACAGGGTGTTTTCAACTCTCTTTATGTTTCTCAGAATTTGTAAATACTCTTAGTATGCCATTTCATTTAATGTGATGTGTTTAATATCTGATAGCATTAGTGAAAGTATTCATATCTTTTCATCCCTCCCAGAAAGCCTCACCACCACTACCACCCAACCCTGAATGAACTTGACAGTGACGTTGATTGATGTTGGGTGTCTGACCTGCGGTTGGGGTCCACACTGGGATGTCGTCCAGTGGCACAGAGCTGGAGGTCCTGTAGTACTGCCGCCTGTCTTTCACAGACAGAGACAGCAAGAAGTCTGCAAGAGACAACGGAGATAGATATTTTTTAAATATTTATTTATGTTAGAGAACAGAGAAACATCGGTGCTGTGAGCATAACAGACTGAAGAAAAGCTCCTGATGAACCTAATCTGGGGTGTTGTGGCGGGTAAACCCAAGTAAACTCATTTAATCCACATCTTTGAAATGAGGCTGAGAGTTTATTCATCAATTCTTGCATTAACTGTACCAATCAATGAGGGAAACGTGATGGGTAAACAACACTTTATTTACCACTACACCCCTGAACCTAACGAACCATAAAAATCCTACAGGAATCTAAAGTGTGTAGGGTACTGTGAGATTATTGTGCAATGAGAGTACTTAACGATCCTTTGTGCTCAAGTTTGTTCAAGGGCTGATTCACTTTTTGAAGATAAATCAATCGATAATGATTTCTAATTTATTGCACAACTAATGTATTAAGTATAAACTCTAAATATTTGCTAGTCGCAGCTTCACAACAATTTGTTGGCTTTTCTTCATTTTGTATCAACCTCTAAATTTTAAGAAATCCCTTTCGGTTAGATCGGCTACATAAATAAAAATAGTCATAAATTGCAGCCAAAATGTATCTATATCATGTTTTTTACATATTGTGTATATATATTGTGAGTTTATGGTGTACTAACTCTACTTTGACATTACAGAAGACAACATAACTCAGATATAATATGTTTTGTATTTAGTAACTGCATTTGTCTGCACATTTTATAAAGCATTGTGTTGCTAGTATTAGTCTTGGGAGCAGTGACATTAGCAGCCATTACAGCTCTGAGGCAGGGGCTGACAGCTGGACGGGTGTTATGGTTTTGTGACAGCAGACATGTTTCTCTGCAGGGTAGCTGCTGTAACGTTACACTAAAACCCTGCCGGCCTTCAGTCTCACCCTTGGTCTCCTTCCAGTCTCCCTCAGCAGAGTTTAGGTTAACTTTCTGGGCCATGGCGGTGCAGCTCCCGGTGTGGAGATACTGGACCAACGCGAGTGTGCTCACTCCGAGGGCGGCACCGAGGGCGACCTTGCCCAGCCAGCCTGCCCGGAGCCGGGGTGCGGCGGAACCGTCCCGCTGGCTGGACTTCCAAATAGCGGCTGTCGCTGTTGTTGAAAACTTAACAGCTCGGAGGGCAGCGTTAATATGGCCGCGGAGAGGACTTGTTGCTGGCTTCCCTCCAAGCTGGGGGCTTCCAGAAGTTAAACTATGTCTGAACTTGACACCGGCTCCCTGGAAGTTAGCACAGACACGGGACAGAGGGCCGGTGTACAGAGGGGCTCTGAGGTATGAGAACAGAGCTGACATTTGCTTTTCCATGCCTGAATGACACCGACTGGACTATCGGTTCGTGTTACTACAGAGCCTCAGGGATCAATGTCAGACACCACCGGACTTCGGTTTCGTTTTAGATGCGTACACACACCTCTCTGTGTTCAACGCTCTCATGGGCCATTTTTGTTTTGGACGTTAACGTGTGGAATGTACCATTTTTAAAGGGGTGTCGGTTATCCGTCGCTAAACGACAAACTTTACCGACTGTCCGTGAGCGTTACTGTGGTGTCCAGTGCTGGTATTAAACGATTAATATTAGTACCAGTGAAAGGGATATGCTGCACATGTGACCAGCTGCTGCTCTATTTTCGACTGTACACCCCGACTAAGATGACATGGGAAAGCCGAAGCCAACGACAAGAGGCTTACGCCGCCTTCAAGACAATGGGAAATATCAGACTTAGAGGATGAGGCCGACGACCGACCAAACAAGCTCGTAAATGCAATAGTTGAAACAAGGAGAGTTAATAAAATATAAATCCACTATTGTGAGCAGGAAGCCTTGTCTGGAATGAGTACAACCCTCCAAAAGCACTTCATACACTGTATTTGATTTCAAATATAATATTCAATCCAAAAAAACCCTGACGGCAAGATGACCTCAGCAATATTTAAATTTGACTAAAAGTTACCCCAATGAAGTAATGTATAAGAATGACTATTCTGTTCATAGGTGTCACACTTTTGCCAACTTAAAGGTATAGACAATTGTGGAATTACTAAATCTCATCAGACGTAGATCCATGTGACTACCTCCTCAAATAGGTCTGCGGCCTGATGGGTATTTTGGGGTGCCATGACACCAAAAACACTGAGAACCACTGCCCTATGACCCTGAAGATGTTGCCCCCTAGCAGATTGTACAACTAAATGCCATAAAACATTGGTTGTAGTTCAAGGAAGGTTAGATTATTATTTGAAGGTAGAATTATTTTCCCCAAATCAACCAGTGAGCTCATTCATCTGTGACAACATCAATATAATCTGGGCTTGTTCCATAGAGAGGAGTCTTATGTGCTTTTGTTACAACTGAACCAAATTATTATTACTATTATATAGTAGAGCATTAAACCTGCTTTCAGTTTTATAAGGAAATTATCAAGTTAGCTAAACCTTTGTCTATTCATTCTTTACTTTGCTTCTGACAAAAGCACCAAAAGCACTACTAAAATTTAGGATCCATAACCCACACCCTAAAATTAATCACTGCTGATCTTGCGTCACTCAACATTAGATCACGAGTCAGTCTATTGTATGTGTGCTTCTGCAAGAAAAGAGAGGAGAAAGACAAAGAGAGAAAGGGTTAATGTGTGCTTTCTGTCCATTTAATATCTCTCATAGTCTCCTACATATGCTGCATGCACATGCACACACACACACACATACATTGCATATGCATCACTCACACAGCCTGTCAGTCAAAGCACATTTCCGCCTGGCGGAAACTGAAAAAAAAAAGGAACAAGCCTATTTTGACAGAAGTGACACAAGCAGCATAGACACAGCTACCCAGACCACAACCTGCCCAGCCCAAGAGAGAGCCCGAAACTGCTGCATATTTTCTCAGAAAAACCTAGGAAACTTCTTCAAAGATCTGACAGAGGCACAGGAGTCCCCAAGTTCTCATTTCTCAAAACCTTGGACCGAGGAGACTAACGGTATTGTTTGTCAAAATGTGTGTGTGTGTGTGTGTGTGTGTGTGTGTGTGTGTGTGTGTGTGACGGCGTGGGAGAAAGTGAGAAAGAACGGAGAATAGAGCGAGTTAGGGCAGGGTGTGTGTGTGTGTGTGTGTGTGTGTGAGGGGGTCATTTATTAAGTCACATCAATTGAACTGAAATGAACTTGAATTGAACATGAATTCAACTTGAATTCAACTTGAATTGAACTGGTCACACATGAACATATATTCAGAAACAAGGAGATAAAGAAAGTTGAGGCCTCCAAAAGAGGTAAGGAGGGGTGCAGGCGTCTCATCTATTCATTGTTGAATAATTTTCTGTGATATTAGTCCTTGAAAGTACAGATACATGGACGGAGACACACATTTTAATATCATTTAAATGGGCTCACACTTTCATACACATGCTGGCGGTTGCTGTATTGGCATTGGATGAACATCTCACCTTGGGCGGGTCAGAAAGCGGAAGTGTGTTAACCTGGTGATAGTTCATGTCAGAAGCAGGAAGTAGCCTATTAATCAAACTGGACACGTTGCCAGAATCAACTCACTCATCCAGTGTGTGTGTGTGTGTGTGTGTGTGTGTGTGTGTGTTACTGAGTATCATGTGATATCAAAACATGAGTGTTTTTTTCTCACAGTTGATTGGTTGACGTATGACTGACAGGTCATTGTCTGAAACAGGCTTTGTATTATCAAAAGCGTCACAGTTTTTTTAAATGTCTTTTATTACAGTTACAGCATGTGTAACTCAACTTTTTGAAGCAGTTTTATCCTTCTTTAAAATTAATTATAAAGTTTTATGTAATTTTTATGCACTGATATGAAATAATGCAGAAAACATTAATATGTAGATTAACTGAAATTGTCTCATATTTAAGCCATGTAATGTTGCTCTGAAATGTGATGATCTTTAAATGTTTTCTTCAGGAACAATTTATTCATGTATTAAAGTGCATAATTTCTCTCTTGTGACATATATAGGTCTCACAATTATTACATTTTTTTTCATACTTTCACTCTTTATGTGCCTGTTCTGCCCTCTTCTCCTTTTCTGCTCTCTGTCTACTCTGTCAGACTCGTCTCCTGCATTTCTCTCTCTCTCTCTCGCTCCCAGTATGGCGGTGTGGGATCTGTCAGTCACAGTAGAGGACCTGGGGTCTGATGCGCCTCCTGTCACCCTCAGTGTGGCCTCTGACCTCCACGTCGGAGGGGTCATCCTAAAGCTGGTGGAAAAGACACGTGGGTCACTGTCTGTCTCCCTCTGTTTGTCTCCGTCTTTGTCTCTGTCACAGTGCACAAACTAAAAATAGTTACATCATATCCATGGACAGGCACATATAGTGTGAACTGCATTATTAAATCATCATAAGCCATACACGGGTTATGCATTTTTTAAAGCATGCATTTTGTAACTCTACTGTAAAGAGTTAGTGTAACATATATACTCCTCTGCTCTCATTTGAATTATTTCTGAGGGTACATTTATATCTTTTTATGCCAAGCAATAACCAGAGTATCTTCAGCCTGTGCCTTAACACCAACTTCTCTTTACCTACATTTTACAAACTATTAAACTCAACACTATTAAACTGAAGTGATTCAGATAGCATAGCAAGATAACATAATGCTTCATTTTCTAAATTAAATGCTGGTGTAGATTACTCAGTAAGACTGTCCATATATTTAAAAGTGTTCATGGTTCAGAGATTTTCATATCTATGAGACAAGCCAAAAGCACTTGACAATGCATTTCAGGGAGACATTTAAAATGTTTGATTACCCATCTTGTGTTTTAATCAATAGTATTGTTTTCTAATTGCCAGTGCAGTAGAATCACTCAGCTGTCCAGTAATTCAGCCCCTGTCCAGTTGAGTGAGGGGAGAATACTATTGATCCTGATGTGACTTGAACACACAACCTTCTGATCTGAAGTCAGATCCATTACCTTTGTGCTACAGAATGTAACTGATGTTACCTGTTGGTCCTAATGTCAGTTGGTTCTGGCAAACAAACCAAACATTTGACTGGAAACATCACTGATACCTACCTTGGAGAAGTCCAGCTCCATCAAAGGTGTCTTCCAACAATTCCAAATCCTCCACTTCCACACATATTCTGTATTTAACGATTGTAGAAGTAGAAACAGGAAATTATTGTTTAACAGGCAGCCAGACTACGGTTTGTAGGTAATGTTATTTACTAACCATCAACAGCTAGCAGAACATCAGCCCAACACATTGCTGGGAGGCACATTTCTCTTCTTTAGTAGACTCTAGCTGCCTCCACACATATTACTGCTCAGATGAAATGTATCAATCGTCCACCAAACTCCTGATATGGTGAGAGATAGTGAACATGAAAATCCCCAAACCGTCAATGTAAAAGACTGTTATTAGGACCAGTAACTTTATTATTCAGTAACTACACCAAAACAATGTTGCACAGTTCACACACTGGTAAGTTGAGTGTGAATAAGAAAAGCTGTTGACCCTGACAACATTTGAAAATGAAAGAAACATTACTCTCCCACCACAAAAGTGTCTGTAAAATTGGAGAACAAACTAAACACTGGTGGGAGGAGCAGAGGTAAACTGATAGTGTTATTATTAATTATTCATATTATTACAATCATTTCTATGTCCAGTGGTTCAAAAGCCAATTTTAAGTACTTGAGGTGAATGTCTGGACTGTGAAAAGTTAAGAACCACAGTCTTCACACATAGGTGAATGAAACAGTGGCTGTTAACTGTGTTTTGTGTCCGTCCTCTGCAGAGATCAAGCGTGATTGGTCGGACCATGCACTGTGGTGGGAGCAGAAGCAGCGGTGGCTGCTGCGGACGGCCTGGACTCTGGAGAAATATGGTATCCACGCCGACGCCAGGCTGGTCTTCATGCCCCAACATAAGCCCCTAAAGCTGTGTCTGCCCAACGGCATTACCCTGAAGCTCCGAGCCTGCTTCTCCAACCCTGTCTTCCAGACTGTGATGGGTATCTGCAGAATGCTCAGTGAGTCTTTCTTTCTTTCTTTCTTATGTTCCTTTATTCCTTCCTTCTTTCATTTCTTTGTTTCCGTCTTTTGCTTCCTTTTTTTTGTTTTTGTGAGGCAAAGAAAAGGCCAGCATGAGGCTCCAAATGAGGAACATTTCTTAATCTTGAGGGTGCACATGGGCCCCGAGTTTGTGACTGTCATATTCTCATTTAGTGTTCACGCACACACATTTTTGCTAGTTGTCTAATGATCAAAGTTTTGACCCTGACGTGATTTGAACACGCAACCTTCTGATCTGGAGTCAGACGCGCTACCGTTGCGCCACAGAGTCTATAAACTCCCCTATCTAATGGTGAGATACCGAACACGCGTGGCAGGATAATGGTCAGTATTATAATTTAAGTTTGAGGACAAAGAAAGACATCTGCTTCATTCGTGCACTCTGTTAACCCTTCTGGTGTCATTCAGCAGTCACACACTGATGTGACTTGAACACGAGCTCTTGAGGTGAAGAACTGCGCTACTTGTCTCCTCCGTTACGTCTTGCACACAAAGGGCCAATAATGTGTCCATGGCCACAAGAGCCGACATGATGTAAAACTCCTTATCTGGCCAAGTGCACAAAGCTCCATGTCACATTTCTGTCTTTTATTATCTTTGCGATCAAAGATTTGACCCTGACGTGATTTGAACACGCAACCTTCTGATCTGGAGTCAGACGCGCTACCGTTGCGCCACAGAGTCTAGATACCCGCTGTTTCTGGTCCACCATCTGGGCTGACGTCACAGGGCGCTTATTTTTACACCGAGGTGCGGGGATCTAGGACCGAGGAGCGATGTCTGAGGATCGAGGATACACGAGAGAAGCCCCCTTTATTGGACATCAGTTATTGATTGGACGCTGCAGTTTAGCCGTTGAACATGATCTTATTACAGTCAGACACAGAAGAGAGTCTGTCAGCAATAAATACTTTACATCATGTCCTGTCATTTCCACTCAGACACATGAGGCTGATAACTCCTGAGTCGGGTTACATCATTTCAGTTCCCCGAAACATTTAGCCTAATAAATATTTTCCAATATTCATAAGACACCATGATCATATTCTGGGTTAGTCAATAATGAGTTTACAATCACAATATCAATAAATACACATGCACATAATGAACAAATAATATAAACGCATTCCGCCAGTAGAAATGATCCCTGTGCCTCTTCTGTCGAAGTTAGTTCTTTATTTACTATAACTCTGAGAGAGGATGCTTTCAGTCATTTTAAACGTGTCCTTGGGCACAGTAATGTCACTGGACTGTGTGAAGGAACTTCTGGCCGTGTAAAATAACCCAACAAATAACATGAACTAAGCTTAGATCGTGTCGGCGATTTAAATAATCAATGAAGCTGCTGTGCCTCGTGCGTAAATGCGCACGGTATCTCTCTTAGTGAGGAGAAACCTCACACTAATTCAGCCTCAGTCCATTCAATATTATTCACAATGTAATCATAGTTTTTGTAACCCTCTGATCATCACTATAATACAGGCTGTTATTTACTTGCAGGTGTTTGTTAAACAGGTAACAGGATGCTGCTCTGGCACTGGATAACTGTATTATTCTCATTCAGCGGTCACACACTGATGTGATTTGAACACGAGCTCTTGAGGTTAAGGACTGCGCTACTTGTTTCCTTTGTTCCTTCTTGCACAAGAAGGGCCAATAATGTGTCCGTGGCCACAGGAGTCCACGTGGGCCTGTGTGATGTCATTTTCCTTATCTATTGAATCTGACTTGATCATGCATCCTTCTGATATGCACTCGCTACCGTTGCGCCAGGGTCCATAAAGCTGACTTCTAAAAGGGCGATGATAAAGCAAACCATCTGTTTGATTTGTGCACCGTAGTAACCATTCCCTGACGGGATTCGACAACACGATCTTTACGTTTGTGACTGCACTACGAGCATAACAGTTATCTCTTGTTATCTTCATGATCAAAGTATTGACCCTGACGTGATTTGAACACGCAACCTTCTGATCTGGAGTCAGACGCGCTACCGTTGCGCCACAGAGTCTATAAACTCCCCTCTCTAATGGTGAGATACCAAACACGCGTGGCAGGATAATGGTCAGTATAATGATTTAAGTTTGAGGACAAAGAAAGACATCTGCTTCCTTCGTGCACTCTGTTAACCCTTCTGGTCTCATTCAGCAGTCACACACTGATGTGACTTGAACACGAGCTCTTGAGGTGAAGAACTGCGCTACTTGCTTCCTCCGTTACTTCTTGCACACAAAGGGCCAATAATGTGTCCATGGCCACAAGAGCCGACACCACATTTCTGTCTTTTATTATCTTTGCGATCAAAGATTTGACCCTGACGTGATTTGAACACGCAACCTTCTGATCTGGAGTCAGACGCGCTACCGTTGCGCCACAGAGTCTATACACGCGTTGTATAAGGTCCGCGTTTTGTTAATGAGGCCAGCTGCAGACGGGAAGAAAGTGTCATGGCGGTGGGAGGTTTTGGTCCTGATGGACTGCAGAGGACCTCAGTGTGGTCCGTCCAGGCCAGTTTATTGTATCTCCCCCCTAATTGCAACTAGGGAGGGGGGCCTCTTGCTGCGCCTGAAGTCCACCACCAGCTCCTTGCTTTTCCCCGTGTTGAGCTGTAGGTGGTTTCTGTCGCACCATCCAATGAAGTTCTGGATCAGGTCTCTGTACTCCTCCTCCCTATCATCTGTGTTACAGCCCACAATGGAGGAGTCTTCAGAGAACTTCTGTAGGTGGCACACTCCCAAGTTGAAGCAGAAGTCAGAGGTGTAGAGGGTGAACAGGAACGGTGACAGTACAGTTCCTTGGGGTGTGCCAGTGGTGCTTGTCACCACGTCTGACAAGCAGCTGTGCAGCCTGAGATACTTTGGTCTGTCAGTGAGGTAGTCTGTAATCCAGGCCAGAAGGTCCTGGTCCACCTGCATCACAGAGAGCCTCTCTGCCAGCCGGAGAGGCTGGATGGTGTCAATGGCACTGGAGAAGTCCAAGAACATGATCCTTACAGTGCTCTGTGGCTTCTCCAGGTGGATGTAAGCTCTGTGAAGCAGCTATATGATGGCATCATCCACGCTGATGTCAGTCTGGTACGCAAACTGCAGCGTGTCCAGACAGTCACGCACCAGGGGTTTGAGGTGCTGCAGAACCAGTCTCTCAAAGGTCTTCATGACATGTAATGTTAAAGCCACAAGCCTGAAGTCATTGAGAGCGCTGGAACTTCCTTTTTTGGGAACTGGGACTATGCAGGGAGTCTTCCAGATCTTCAGCACCTTCTTCAACCTCAGGGCGAGGTCAAAAACATGCTGGAACACTCGCAGTGTTCCAGCATGTTTTTTTTTTTTTTTGACCTTTGACATGTTTTTGACCTCGCCCAGTTGCTCTGCGCATACCTTCAGGACCCTCTGGTTGACGTTGTCAGGACCTCTAGCCTTGTTTAATAGAGAGAGTGAGCGGGAGCCGTTGTGTCGAGCTGCCACTCTCTGCAGTGCTGGAAGCAGTATTCCCCTCCTTACAAGGGAGTCGTTGTGAGCCTGCATGAGTTAAATTTCTCTATCTAGCCAAGTTCACAAAACTCCATGCAGATTCCTGTACAGCCCAATGTTTGTGACTGCACTACAAGGATGAGATCATCTTTTATTTTCTTAATGATCAAAGAGTTGACCCTGACGTGATTTGAACACGCAACCTTCTGATCTGGAGTCAGACGCGCTACCGTTGCGCCACAGAGTCTATACAATGTAAAAAAAATCAAGTACTTTGTAAAATATAGATAAAGATAGATAAAGATAAAGCTAGGTTCAGCAAGGATGATATTTATAATGTACAGGACAGAAAAATTAAAAAAAATTGAATTAATGCTTATATACAGGGTGGGTTAATCAGTCAGTGTTAGTGGGGGTCGCGGGTTTTGTTAATGAGGCCAGCTGCAGACGGGAAGAAAGTGTCAAGGCGGTGGGAGGTTTTGGTCCTGATAGACTGCAGCTGCCTGCCAGAAGGAAGTGTTTCAAAGAGTTGAAGTATTGACCCTGACATGACTTGAACATGCAACCTTCTGATCTGGAGTCAGACGCCCTACCTTTGTGCCACAGAGTCTATAAAATGCCTATCCAAACTGGTGACATTACAACAGTTTTCAGTTTAACAGCTAGCTGAACCATTTGATGACAAAGCACACTTAATTTGTGCACTGTATTAACCATTCTGGTCTTACTGTCGTTAAGCAGTGGCACACAATGACGTGCTTTGAACGTTGCGCCACAGAGTCTGTGGACATACATCCCAAACTGGTGAGATACCAAACACTGGTGGCAGGAGGTAGCACAATGACATTTTTGCTAGTTTTCAGTATAACGGCCAGCTGAATCATTTGAGCGTTGGAGATAATTGAGCCAAGACTTTTATTTTTGTCTAAAAGAGGAAGGTCTTTAACCACTTCTCGTCAAGTTCTGATTACTTATATATTTTTAACATCTGTAATCTTTCATCTGAGTTTCCAAGCCAACTATATAGTATAAATATAAATATAAATATAGAGACACTTCAGTGATTGGCTGCATATATGGATGATATATTCCCCTCAATGAGTACAGGAACAGTGTAGACCTGGTTTTCCACCAATGTTCAGGCTGTATGCACTCTTAATTTAGAGTTTTCTTGCTGCAGGGTGGGCATTGCTACAGCTCTGCACAACAGCCTGAAGCAGCATCGCTCAAATCCTCCAGTGGAAGAGCAGGGTCAAGCAGATGTGCCAAGGCAATGACCAACAAGGACTTGCACACACAATTGCTTTCACATTCACACTTCCTACAAAGTTAAAGTAGTGTGCAGCACTAGAATGTAGTTTTGTGGAGATTGAAAAACTCACACTCATGAATATCCAAATAACATTGACAGTTATTTAAAATGTAATCATAGCTTTCTCTTCCAACTCTATATCCAACACAACCTGTAGGATTGTCATAGTTTTATATTCTTTTCAAATCTCTGACTATTTTTATATTGCATGGTCATCTTTATTTGTTTTCAAAATGACTATATAATCAACTATTTTTCTTTTGTCCAGTAGCAATAGTATGGCCTTACTTTCAATAATGGTTTGACACAATGTTGTTATTTGGCAAAAATGTCCTTTACATACTGTCATAAGTTTTTATGAACAAATTATTTTTGCCTCTGCCATTGTTTTCGCTCCAGATTAATACCAGTAATGATGTTTTCTATTCCATTCCAGGTTTTTATGAGCACCATCAGACCAACAACCTGTGCTCATACTTAATCTAATGAGGTTTAACCCAGGTGTTCTTCTTCAGTCGTACTTACTTACTGCAGGACTCCGTAGTCTCTGAATAAATTTAAGTCACGTTCATTAAAGCTACTTAAATGTTCCAGTTTAACTAGTCCACATTAAGGCCTGGTCTGTGAAACCGGCCCATTGTGTGTCTTTTATGGTTTTGCACAAATCCAGGAAGGAAAAACAAGGCAGTTAAATGAACATGAGAGTACACAACTCAAGTTTGTGTCTGTAGAATCCAACAGTCTAAAGACAAGGTTTACTACCCATTGAAAAGCAAACTTATTGATTAAGTGACAAGAACACAATTTGAACTTCTGGAGTCAGACTTAATACCATTGCGCCATTTGATGCACAGTTGTTAATGAAATGTTGCCAGTTGTCAAGTGTGTTATCAACATTGTTCAGTGTGCTGCTCCTGTAGTGATCAGTCTGTCCCTTCTCTGCATATTATTATAACTGAGACACAGTCCCTAATTACTTTTGACTGATTTCTCTGTTACCTCTACAGATATCCGTCACCCCGAGGAGCTCTCGCTCCTTCGGCCCATAGAGCAGAAAAAGAAGAAGAAAGATAAAGACTCGGCTGAGGAGATCTACGACCTGACCGAGGTGCCCCTCTCCTCGGGTACACTCATCACACTACATTCACACCACATGCACAACTAGTGGCCCTGAGCAAGAAACGTGAAAGAACTGCCAATATCAGATTGTATTTCCTGCTCCCAATTTCACCAGTCAATCTGTCAAAATCCAGCTTTTACAACCTTGGACTTCCTATAAGTACAGTACCATGAATACAGAAAATGCTATAATGTGATCATAATAATAATCACTGTTTCTAGAGTCAGGTTTGCCTCCTCAAAAGCCTTCATTCATATAGTCTACAGGATCTACCTGTAAATGATCCAAAGATACCGGTGGAGAAGATTAATGTTTTTGTAAAATACAGCAGTTTTCATCTGACTCTACTCCAAAGCAGCTACTGTGCATTTTAAAGCAGAAATTGAGTAATATATTAGTCAGACTTTTTCCCTGTTGTTTACAAAGTGAAAATTTGACTGTAACCCTCCTACACTTCCTTTCGCAGTATCCCGGCCCTGTCTCTATAATGGCATGCCGGCTCATTTCGCTGACTCAACACAGATGGAGGCCATCTACAAGATGCTGTCAGTCACCCAGCCTCCCCCCGCCCCCGAGGTCATAGCCAAGCAGTACCGCCCAGCCAGCGTAGTGGACAAGGCCCACATCCATGGCAGGTACGCCTTCACACATATCAGTATTGTAAACTCTGTCATATTCTTCAAAACAGCTATTTTGGCAGGAAATAGTTGGGTACCTTGGGAATGTTGGTTCAGTGGTTACTGCTGTTGTCCAACAATACGAAGTTCAAACTTTATTGCAGGAAACCTTAATAACAAATGTGCTTCTCCTTTTGTTACCACTAACAAAGACACACTCTTGATCATTTAAGTTTGGTTATTTTAAAAAACAATTCTGTTTTCACTATCCTGCACTCACTGCTGTATTGTGTTTAGCTAATTAAACTTAGATTTAGCTATTAAAGCAGCTCCCTCTTAACTGAGTGGTCAAACCTATTATAGCTTACATGCATGTTCATTGACACAGGCTACCACTGCCCTATAATTGGATCATAACTGGAGCTGATTGAATGGTTTCAGGCTCTATTATATGCATTGAAGCTGTAGTGAGCACACTCACATTTTCATCAGAAGAATTGTCTTTTTCCATTTTTTTTCCCATTCTTTGCTTTGCTCTTGCATTGTGTGTACTTTAATATAATTGTTGGATAAGCACATACATAATGGATTAGAACGTAATACATTTTGATTAACCTAACCATAATCAGTCATGAACAGAAATAAGTCAAATGGAAAATATATGTGCACACATGTAAGATGTTCAATTTACATATAAACATATATTTATCAGTTTTTTTTATTGTTTGTGGTTGTTTAGGTGGTTTGTTTATTTCATTAATTATGTTGGTACATCAAGACAATTATACAATAGCTCTCAGGTAGTTTTTTCTGCTTGTGGGTGGGCGGTGAGATTATGGGGCCTTTAAGTTGTTTGACAATGTGAAAACCCAATAAAAGCATTTTAATAAACATATATACATGTATGTTACATATACATTTTATACACATATACTTATCCTCTTTCCTTTTAGGTGGTTGGACTCATCCCGTTGTCTTATGCAGCAGGGAATCCAAGAAAATGACAGAGTCTGGCTTCGCTTCAAATTCTATGCCTTCTATGACATTGAACCCAAGGTGTGTGTGTATACTGTTTATATATATAGTACTGTATGTGTGTATGTTTGGCCTTGATTTGACTCTTCTTTTCTATGACCGTGCAGTACGATGTTGTGCGTCTGACCCAGCTGTATGAGCAGGCGCGTTGGGCCATCCTGCTGGAGGACATCGACTGCACCGAGGAGGAGATGATGCTGTTTGGAGCCCTACAGGTAAGACTGCTGCTGAAGACACTTCCCTCATGAAACTCTTAAATGTCATATATTACAGGAATCTAAATGTTACTATATGTATATGCAAATATTGTCAAAGACATATGATGACTAATAATAACTGAACAATTTTTTAACAGGTTAAATATAAAGGTTTAATAAAAAGGAGTCTCTCACGTTGGGATTAGACTTAGTTTAGCTCTAATTTGGGTTCCTTTTACTTCTAATTTGATCACAAAGAACTGCTCCTGTTTATAAATGATTGGGGTATCCAGATGATACAGCTAGTAATAACACACAATTTGAGTTGTTTTCTCCTTTAACATCCAGTACATAGTTAATAGCTTGTCACTCTCCTCTTTTACTCAAACTCCTTTAGTACCACATCAGTAAGGTGTCTCAGTCAGAGCCCCAGATGCTGAGTTCCAGTGCAGCTATGGACGACCTGGAGTCCGCCCTTCAGTCCCTGGAGGTCAAGATGGAGGGAGAGACCAGCACTGCATCGGAGATGCTGGTCAGACAAACTGAATATCTTCTGTACCTATGATGGTTTTGAGATAGACTATAACTGTTTTAGGACTGTAACTCTTTCACATTTTGCAGTTTGTTTGAAACACAATGTCAAAACAAAACTCTAAGAACTGAAGATTTTTCAAACAATAGATTTAAAGGTCCAGAGCAAAAACATTTTTGTCTTTCATCCAGGAATACATGACGGCACCAGAACTCAACGACTATCTGAAGATATTCAGGTGAGATTCATTTCCATCAGCATAACCTAGAAGTTCAAACAGAGCAAAGTACCAGTTTCCTGAAAATCCAGAAATCTTTCAAATTAGTTGAAACTTTTGCAATGTGATTGTATGTTTCAGGCCAAAGAGGCTGACTCTAAAGGGATATAAGCAGTACTGGTTCAAGTTCCAGGATACCTCCATCTCTTATTTCAAGAGCAAAGAGGAGAGCATCGGGGAGCCCATTCAACAGATTAACCTCAAAGGTACTAAATATAATGTTGTAAATATTGTTATTATGATTATGCCAATAATGTATGTACAAATTAGTGGCCAATGAAGTAGCAGTCATACTTCAGCAACCTCTCTATTCACTTCTGTTTTACACACTGCTTAGATATAATGTAATGCTTCAACACAAAGAAAGAGCTTTCCATATATGGTAAAAAGTGAGAATGCTGCTCTCAAGTCTGTTTTCTTCTCAGTGTGCGACACGATAATGGGATCACTGGTAATCCTAGATCAGTACTATTTAAAAAAAACTGTGAGCATGACTCAGCGGGCTCAGGCGTGGACTCAAAATGTCATGGAAGTCTGACTCAGTGTTGATCACATGAATGCTCTTCTATATTTTCCCTCCATCCTTCATTTCTATGTCCAGCCCATAAATGTCAAATTTCAGTATTTGATGTTGCTTTGATATTTATCCTTTACACAGGATGTGAGGTGGCTCCAGACGTTAACGTGACAGCCCAGAAGTTCCTTATCAGACTCCTCATACCAGCGCCTGAGGGCATGAATGAGGTCTATCTGCGCTGTGAAAACGTGAGGACACACACACACACCCCCACACACACCTCTATCATTACTATAAATACATCTCTTCTCATCTCTGTATGTGACATCCTATTATTTCCCCTACTTCCTCTTTAAATACCTTTGTCTTTGTCTCACTTTGTCACCTCTCTGACCACAACCTCTCTCTCTCTCTCTCTCTCTCACATCTGTGTCTGTGTCTCTCGTCCTCCAGGAGCAGCAGTATGCTCAATGGATGGCTGCGTGTCGACTGGGCTCCAAAGGCAAGACTCTGGCCGACAGCAGTTTCCAGAGCGAGATCCAGAGCATCCGCTCCTTCCTGGCAATGCAAAAGACCAGCTCCAGTTCCCATGGCAACGTACCTGCCAACGATGAAAGCATCAATACTCACAGTCTGGTATCGCCACGCTACCATAAGAAGTACAAGACCAAACAGGTATGGGAGAGGTGGAATTTGTACAAGTAAAGATCGTAAATATGATGTTCCAGCTACAGCAGAGCACAGGACTATTGGATCACACCAATATTACTGTGCATGACATTTAGCCATGGGCAAAATTGCCCACTGAAATGAGCTTAATAATTTTTCTGAACAGTTCTACAACTGAGACTCCGGCCCAGTTTGTGCTCAAGGCAGAAAAAATATGATTACATCTAACCTCTTGCTCTGTGCCTGCTCCTCCAGCTGACCCCTCGTATCCTGGACGCATACCAGAATGTGGCTCAACTCTCATTGACAGATGCATTGATGCGCTTCCTGCAGATCTGGCAAGCCCTGCCTGATTTTGGACTCTCATACGTCGTTGTCAGGTTGAGTTTAATTGAAAAATTGATTGAATGCCAGCTAGCATCAATTTGGAACCTTTTATCACAACATGAAATGTGAGAAAACGGGGCAAAACCAGGAAAGTTTTAGTAAGTAATTAACAACACAAATGCAAACACAAAGTCTTTTGGCAACAGACCAGCAATCACCAGCAGTGGTAAGAAAATAACCCTAAAAAGGCATTTAAGGCCAAGAAAACAAAGCTAACTAAAATCTAAAATCCTTCTACAGGCAGAAATTAAGATAATTTTAAAAATGTTGTCAACAAATTGTAGCTGTGCTTTTGATGATCCCGAAGTCACCATCTCATAGGAAAAAAATTAATTCTGCAGATGAACTGTGGGTATAGTGCTAGTTTGGGAAACTTTATTAAACAGAGTAATAGTATTGTGAATATGATTATTGATGGGTGGAAAACACAGAATTGGTATCCGAGTGTGATCCAGCAGGCCAGTGAAAGATGAAAGATTAACTTTTGTCTCAGCAAGATTTTGAAAGAAAAGAAGCTGAAGATATTTTTTTCCCTACAGATTTAAGGGCAGTCGAAAAGACGAGGTAATGGGAATTGCTCCCAACCGTCTGATCCGCATTGACCTGGGCGTGGGTGATGTAGTGAAGACCTGGCGCTACAATAACATGAAGCAGTGGAACGTCAACTGGGACATTCGACAGGTGACGCCAATGCTTTCATTCACGTTTTGTCTGGGAGAGAAGTCAGCAAGATCTTGAACTTTTGTTTCCAGGAGTATGTGGCACTGAATGAGCAAAAGTTAATTTAGCCATTTTTAAACAAAGAATGCCTACTGTTATTGTCCTAACTCTACCCAGAGTTACAGTTCTAACAGTGCAGAGAAAGGAACCTTTAATGTAAAATCAATATTGTATTTTGTCGGTGTTTTTTCAGCCCCAAAATTCATCTTTCATCTTAAAGGAATCTCATATACTGTGTGTGTTTTTCTGACTCCTCCAGGTGGCCATAGAGTTCGAAGGCAACGTCAACATTGCTTTTGGCTGCGTGACGGCTGACTGCAAAATCGTTCATGAGTTTATTGGAGGCTACATTTTCATGTCTACACGCAGTCGTGAGAAGAGCGACACTCTCAATGAGGAGCTTTTCCACAAGCTGACCGGTGGCCATGAAGCTCTTTAGGACTAAAACACACACAAAAGATGGATCCTTCACAGCCAGATTTCCTGTGTGTGCGTCTCAACAGTGGAAACCATCTGGAATAGGATTTTATGTTACATCCAGGCAACCACAAAAACATCGGAACAATACAACAAATGGTCGAAATAAGATATTCTGTTTATGTATAAATGTGTTACAACCCGCCTACCTAGTCTGTCCATCCAAGTTTTTATATAGCCTTTGTCATAGACTACATCAATGGATGGATGACTTTACTTGTTCAGACAGTTCAAGACTCCTGTGGTCCTCATGCTGACTTCCCCTTTACTTCAAGATGGACTGCTGCTGGGCCAAACTGATGGACATCTGGTCCAGTATCAGCAGGCTTGACAATCAAACAAAGTCATGTAAAATGAACAGATGTATCAGCCAGCAGCAACTTTTCTTTTTGTTTGCCTCACAGTTTCCAGACTTCCTGTCACTCAGGAAAGAAAGCCTTGCTTTGTCCAGAGCTGCAGTTTTATTGCCACTTTTATTAGGGACCGAGCCAGCGACCGCTGGAGGTCCCTATTGTTTTTGCTCGACTTCTTCTTCTTACCTATTATTATTATTTTTAGCCCCCTTTGACTGTCAATTTTATTTGGCAAAGTTGTCAGGCCTGGTGAAAATGGGGATATTATATGCTTCCCTTTTGTGTCCGCCACTAGGTGGCGCTACTATCATAAAAAATGCGTTTAGGCTAATAACTTCTGCATAGTTTGTCGCACATTCAAAAACCTTGTATCCACGCGTTCGGTGAATGGAGTTGAATCTCCCCATATAGGCCGCGCCCACTTCCACTTCCACTCCAATTTTTTTTCGTTAGAGCGCGAAATATCCTTAAACTACTTTTTTGTGGTCCTCCTACACGCTTTGTCCGATTCGTACAAAGTTTTTCACCTAGCACCTGGGGACCACCCTGGCAAAAAAAAGTAATTCAAACATTTTTGAAATTTTAAAAAACAAGCACGCTATAAAATTAACACTTCCTGTACATTTTTCGTCAAAAAAGGAAGCGGACCATTTCTCCACACTGGTATGTCCGATTGACACCAAACTTAGGTCCATAGTTCCCAATGTCTTCCTTAAGCCTCGTGCAAAATTTCAGACCATCACCACTAGGTGGCGCTCTTTAAAATGAAGAAGTTTATATCTCTAAAACGGTATGTGTGATTAAGATGAAACTTGGTACGATGCTTTCCCATGGCTCCCTGAGGCTAACCTAAAAAAAGGACCAAAAAAATACGCCACTAGGTGGCGCTCTTTTGGCATGATAAATCACTGTGCGGAGGCCGTAATAGTTATGAATATGAAATTCACAGGGCACGTGTAGAGTGGTGCCTGAAGCTCACATACCAAAAATCGTGTTTGTCATGTTTGTAACGCCCCCTACAGGATAAAAAAAACAGCAGCCCCGGCGCCACGTTTCACCGATATGTACGAAACTCGGTAGGCACGTGTAACATGCCAGGACGTACAAAAAAGCCTCTTGGACCCATACCCGAAACCCCACAGGAAGTCGGCCATTTTGATTTTGATTTTCACTTTCGGCGAACTTTTCTCGTTGTATTTGAACGAACTCCTCCTAGGGAATTTATCGGATCTACTTCAAAATTGGTCAGTACAGTCAAAAAATGGTGCTGATTAAAAGTTGTGCTATTTGTGACTGTATGTTTCACCGTGTGCCCGTGACGACGTGTCGAATTCCACCGATTGGCCATCAAACAGATAGAACTCATATCTTCAGTGTACAGTCCCACCCTGAACACGTCCTCATAACTTCAGCGTACATGATCCAATCTCAATGAAACTTCACGTGTTTGATAACAGTCCCACCCTGAACACGTCTACATGACAATATTCAGACATAGTGATAGCGCCACACACTGGTAACAGGAAGTATCACGTTTTATACTTTCATGTTCTACTGAAATTTACTTATAAAATGCAAAACACATTGTTGATGACATGTGTTGACTGTGTTGAGGGGGCGTGACGAATTCGCTAAACCTTGAGTGTACATTGTCCAATCGGCTCCACACTTCAAATGCTTGATAACAGTCCCGCCTTGAACACGTGTACAGGACAGTATTCAGACATAGTGATAGCACCACCTATTGGCAACAGGAAGTAAGCGCTGCGTGGCGATTTTGAGCTGATTAACAGCAGATTTTCATGTTGTGGTCCGCACGTGTTACGACGGCACGCAACGCGGCTGCAGCACGCCCCGAGTTGCGTGGAGTGCGAGGTCCCGCCCAACGCTGCTTGCAGCTTTTATTGTAGTTTGAAATTTATGGCACATTACAACAGCCACATTATCGCAGCCAAGAATCAACAATGAGTAGAAAATATACCAGCTAATATGAAATGTCATCTCTTATATGAAGAACAAACATTTATTCAAATAAATATAACAATTCCATTTTCATTCTGTTGTTTTCACTCCTTATGTTCATGGCATATGGTGGCAATTTCTGTTGTTTCCTTCACAGGAAGCTTCAAACCATTTATCTCCCCTCACATGCTGTGTGTGTGGGTGTGTGTGTCCATATCTTACAAGGAACTGTTAAGCAGTCCGTTAAGTAAAACCACAGTGTCTGCATCCTCTGCTTTTCCCAACTTGGTCACATGATTAACCACACATACAATATGTGGTTCCTCCATTTAAAGGCCTGAATGCTTGTTACCAGCAGTCAGTGTGTCTGTAACCATGCAGTATATATTTATTGCTTGGTTACATATATATATATATAGTGCTTGGTTACATGTAGTGCTTGGTTACATCTTATCTTATCTTGGCAGTTAATGTGAGCTACAGTTAAGTTAGCTCTAACAATATAACAGAGAAAACAAAGCACCAATATTCATAAATAAAGAATGTGACATTTGCCAGCATTAGATGGTTGAATTGGCATATAAAAATAAAGTATGCTTCCATAAAGCCATCCAGATCCTTTCAATAATTACACAAAAAAGTTTATCAATTTAGTCCCATGTAAGATGATTTCTGAATGTATTCCTGTATTGCTAGATGCTCCTGCCAAACAACAAGTGTTACCAAGGGAACTAGGATAAGCATCAACCAACCATGGGATGCTAGCACAACCAATGAGAGAACAGTATCGTCTGATGTTACTGCAGTGGCAGGATACTCCCTGAAACACAGAAGAAAAGGGACTTCAGTGAACAAGTAAATGTTGGCCCTAAATTCAAGTTATAAAAAAGAATCCACATTGAATTAATCTATGTTTTTCTTACTTGTAGGCCTCAGTCTTAAGGCTCGGCTGAAGTATTTAGGGAGAAGTTTTCCTTCTGCGTTGCCTGCAGTTAGCAACACGCCATTTTCTGACCAGAAGAACTCAATACCGTCTGTACAGTCAGATGCACATAAAAAACACATGTAAGAAAGAATTTTTTGTCAAAACATATAGACTGAATTAAGCTTACTGGGTAGCACTCATTAGTGGTTAAGCTTACCAGCGAGAGCTTTGGGGACATCAATATACACAGCTAGATCACAGTCTTTCCTCATGCCTGATGGGAAAATGAAGCACACTGTCGAACATTTGTCTAACTGTTCAGCTGGCTTCTTTCTGTCTCGCACGCACGCACGCACGCACGCACGCACGCACGCGCACACACACACACACACACACACACACACACACACAGCTTACCACTGATGACGCCATCCTCCCCTAGCAGGCCTGGTGCCAGGTGGATGTGTGTCCTCTTCATGCGGTTCAAGCCCTGCTGCTGGATGGAGCTCCAGTTGCGGAGGTAGGAGCCATGAATGGCCTCAGCAGGGCAGTCTGGAGAACCAGACAGGACCGGTTTCAGCCCCAAATCCGTTACCTGATCACAGCAAATTGACCAGTATTAAAACAGCATTTCAAATTAGAATTCAAATATGTAAGATTAAAATCTTATACACAGACAAACTAATGTGCCTGTCAAAGAAAATATGATTGGGATGACAATTTTGTCGCTTAACTAGCTGTGAAAAGCTTGTAGTGACATTGAACTGCTATCAGGGGAAGATAGTTAGAAAAACTGAGGGCAGAATCCAAAGCCAGTGAGGATTTTTATATATCTCATGTTTGTAACAAATGCATCTGTCATTGATTCAAGAGGAAAAAACAACATAATCAAATTTGAAGATGAATTTTAGCACCAGACTCACTACTGGCTACTTCCTATTGACTCTTGATTGTCAGAGGACTAACATCATATGTCATCAGAAAATTAGATTTAAAGTGATACTTCGAAGGTGTAAATTGTTTTATTACATTTGTATGCACTCAGTGGAACAACATGGAGTTTGTTTTGAGTGGTTGTTCATTTTTCATCAGAAGAAAGTGAATGTACAGTATAAGTAGTATATACTTGTATTATTTCTAGAAAACTGGCCTTTGTTCACTCATACTCTCCAACACACATAGAGATGACACAGACTGGGCATCTCTGCATTCTCTGTGTTGCTATTTGGTTTATCTACCAAGGGGAGTAATACATCCTGACATGCTGGATCAAAATCAAATATCCCTTTGTCAGTGCCACTCGTAGGTTTCCACATGTGTCTTTTCAGCAATACAGTCACATCATCTGGGATTCACCTGTACTGAGTGGCCCTGACTGGCTCGAATTTGCAGGCGGCCATCCTCCAGGTGGGTGCAAAGCTTAAAGCGCTGCTTGTCATTTGTGGCCACGACTCTCTTCACGTCTTCCAGTGAATATGAGTGGAACTGCGGGTGAGCCAGAAGTTCCTCCACAAACAGGAAACCATCTATGTGGATAAGAGTTGTTATTTATCGTGCACTTACCTCTCATCCCTGCACTGGAGTACATTTACAGACTGCAAGTATTTTGTGAAACTGAGAATAGAGATGTTGGTATTTTGAATTACACAGAAAAATCATGTCTCATGGTCAATGTAGATTTGTTAAAATGTTGTTGAGAGAAAGAAAACAGGACTACTAAAATGAAGCAGCCTAATACACAACTTTAATATAGTTGTATACCTGTCATATTTGTAAAAGTAGTAATACCACAGCATAGAAATACTCTGTAAAAAGTAAATGTCCTGCAGTCAGTGTAATGTTTATTACTGGTTTAAAACTACTGATACATTCATGTCTACATCACTTTAATGTTGCAGCTGGTAAAGGTGGGGGTCGTTTTTAATTGTGAATTTCCCCCACAAAAACGATCGTCTTGATTGATAACTAGTAACTAAAATGATCACATAAATGTAATGGAGTAAAAAGTACCACACGTAGTGGAGTAGAAGTATAAAGTAGTAGAAAATTGAAATACTCAAGCTAAGCACCTCAAAACTGTATTTAAGCACAGTACTTGAGTAAATGTATTTAATTACTATCCTCTACTGCCTATAGACAGCACTTCATTCACTCTTGTCTATTTGAACCAGACTGAGAACAAAAATTAACCCCAAAACAAAGGTGACAATTATGATCTGCTGAAATGTTTTAAATTAAGATCCTTACTCGCTATCAAATATGTCCTCAGAAATTGAGACAGTATCAGTAAAGAGACATTTGTGTTAAGCTCACCTGTACCCATGTCAAGACCCATCTGGTTGGCGCCATGGCGAAGTGCATAAGACATGGATTTAGACAGGCGGACATCTCTGTCCTGGTATCACACACACACACACACACACACACACACACACACACACACATCAAATTCAGCTCTAATTATAGCCCTGGTTTAAGTATAGGACGTTGACCTCAACCTACCTAACACTTACTTACATACTGCCAGCCCTGATAGTCAATAAGGCTTGAAAGCCCAAAATACTTCTGTCATTATGAGTCTGAAATCAGTCTCTGAACTATTAAAGAAATAGGTCATAATCCCAGTTTATAGGAGTATAATCTCTCACCTCCGCACCACGATTTCCTCTCCTTCCTCTTCTCCCCCCTCTCCCTCCTCTGTCACTGCATTGTGCCATGAATTGTACTGATTTTAATTCAGCGAAATGATATTCTTGTGGTCAAACAGTGCTGTCAACAAACCGGTGCCGGTTTCCACTTCCTCTCTGTTGCAGTCGTCCGCCTGCAGGTGGCACTGTGGCGGGGAGGTGGGCTGACACCACAGAGGAAAAACTGCATTTTGTCCTGGAAGCCTGGAGGAAAACATCACCCAAACAGCAGCTGGGTAAGAAGATATCTTTCAAATACGCGAAAAATATGAGGTATCTCAACTCAGAATTGGGACCGGCTATTTGACGGTAACTTGGAAACCAAACTGCGGTTACCGGAGCCCGCGCCCGGGGAGCTGCTACAGAGGGTGAGCTAACTTAGCTAACTAATGCTAGCATAGTTGGGCTGGAGCTTCTTGCTAGATAACCTCTTCATGCGGGTCAGTTGGGATCTTCTTACATACAGTGCTGTTTGCCACGCTTCTTTCTCACCTGTGTGCCATCGTTTGTCTTTGTAGATAACGTTAGTCACTCAGTTATACATTAACATGGTGCTCATAGACAGGGCTGCCACTTGGGCTGAAGAATCCGGTCACCATGGAAACGTAACGTTAGACACGTTAACGGATGATTCTCAACTAACTCCCACTTTATTTTTCAGTCTGAGTCCTAAGTTAAATGTTTTCGTTTTGTTTGTTACGTGTTGATGTTTGTTGCTATTTTACGACGTTTTTCCTTACTTAACGTTACGTCAATATCTGATGTGCTCCCATGTTCGAGCAAACTCAGCAAAAGTGCTGTTTTATGCTCCTGTGTTAGATAAAACATGATAAAGCTCTCTGTGATGGACCGGGGTTCAAGAAAACGTGATAAAGGGGCTCAAATGTGCCCTTTAATTGCAGAAATTGTGATAATCCACACTCTTCAGTTTAGATAGTGAGACAATTTCTTCTTTTTTCTAAGAGGTTTTATGACTTTAGTAGTAAACCAACCAAGAGAGATGACAGAATGCTGAATTTGTGTAAGCCATTATTTTCCAAAGAAAGCATAAGAGAGCTACTAAAGAAATTATTTTCAGGATACTTAATGCAGCCGATTACAGAGCTGTCTGTACTGATTTATTTCACTGACAGCAGCATTGTCTCTTTATGCCCTCGCTTCCTCTCATTTTTTATCTTCTCTGTTGCTCAGGTAATGGAGTTCCCGCAGCATTCCCAGCAGCTGCTGTCAGCTCTGCGCTCCCAGCGCCAGCGGGGCTTCCTCTGTGACTGCACCGTCCTGGTGGGCTCATCCCGTTTCCTGGCTCACAGGGCTGTTTTGGCCTCCTGTTCGCCTTTCTTCCACATGTTCTACTCAGACTTTCCGGGGGTCAGTGGTGGAAACAGCACCAGCAGCTCTGTCACACTCGACAGCGACATTGTCACTGCTGCTGCATTTGGCTTACTCTTGGACTTTGTCTATGAAGGCGTGCTGCAGTTGGATGAGTCTCCACCCGTGGAAGACATATTGGCGGCTGCAAGCTTTCTGCACATGAACGAGGTGGTGAGAGTATGCAAGAGACGACTGCAGAGACGAGGGCCTCTGGCTGAGGCAGACAGCACTCGCTCTGAAGAGAGCGCTGGTGCGAGGAAGGCAACAGAGACAGGGAGGGAGGGTGGTAGTGATGGTGGAGCTGACCCTGAGGTGGCCATGGCAGGAGATCACTTGAATCCTGTCGCCATGGCAGCGCCGCTCTCATCAGTAACCATAACAGCACAGAGGAGTCAGTTGGAGTCTGTGAAGTCTGAGCGGAGGACTGGTGGGGGGTCAACCGAGGCACGACTTCAGACTCCTCTGAGCCCCGACCTCGCTGATACCACGCAGCCAGGCATGGACGCCCCTCCACTACCCCCAGGTGGACAGCTGGTGCAGGGCCTCATCGTCAGTCCGCCTGCCCCGGGATGTTACACCAGGTTGTGCACTGGAGGTCAGGGTGAGGGGTCGGCACTCTGCAGCCCTTGCAGCACCACTGAGACATACAGGTACATGTCTGTTGTGAATTTCTAGACTGTTTTTGACATAAAAAATAAAAATAATAACACCCATAAAACAACAGCTTTAAATATTAAACTGATGATCAGTGTTCCCTGTAATTGCAGCATTGTCTTGGTTTTATTTTAACACAGTTTTAATCACGGTTAGTTATTCAAAAGCTGAAATTTGACATCTATTTGAGATCTATTACTATATCAATATCAGAGGTACAGTAGGACTAGATGTAAGTAAAATTCTATATCACAATATCAATATATATCCAGAAGAAGTTATTTTTCTAGAAACTTAATTGATTAATAACCAGATGGGTGTTCCTATTCTTTAATTAATCCAGTGAATTAAATACTGGAGTGAGAACTCCTCTAGATCCAGTATTATAAAGCACTGCTGTAGGAAGAAAGCAAAGAAACTGCAAATTATTTTAAATCAATCTTTGGATGAAGAATGTTTGACTGCTTGTCTTGGCATTTTGTTCCTCCGTGTACTGACGCTTTTTATGATTTGTTGTTACTAAAAGGTTGTTTACAGTAGATCTTCCTTTATTTCTGTCTTTCTCCAGCCACAACAGTAATCAGCAGCCCTCCTCCTCTTCTTCCTCCCTGGTGCCAGTGACCCAGGCTAGTGGTCGCTCAGTGGCTGCTCTTTCCCAGTCAGAGTCCAGCCTCTCCCCCGGCCCCCATCACGAGGTACCCCGACTGGCCAGTGAAGACTCTGTTAGGAAACCCTCAGAGACTGACCCCAGAAGTATATCAGGCGGAGGACAACAGATGATCATGTTAATCCAAGCATCGGCACTAACCTCACACTTGGAAACAAACGCAACACACCCACCCCCGCAGCGTGCGCTTTCCCAGATTCGAATCCAGAGCGCTGTGTCACTCCAACGCCAAAGCTTGGACATCCAATCTGCTCAGACCCAAACCATTAAGGTAGCTGAGGGGGATACGAGAGCTTCACATGCCACTAGAAATGAAAGATCTCACCCTCTTATGGGCAGAGTGAGGACAGAAGACAGTGACAGAGAGAATGTGAAAGTCAAAGTGGAGGCCATTGTTATATCTGATGAAGAGTTAGAGGAGGAGAAAGAGGAGAGCGTAGAGAGAGAACCAGTGATGGAAGTAGACGATGAGTTTGAAGATGACATCCCAGAAGAGGAGCTGAACAGCCCCCAGTTTCTCTCCTCCCACCAACAGGGCCTCTTACAAATGACCTCCCATTCAAATGACTACTCCTTTCCTCTCTCTCCCTCCTCTTCCTCCTCCGGACCTGGCCCTTCCTCCCAGGACACTTCCTCCTTCGCCGCCTCCCTCATGCCTCCATCCACAGCTCAGCAGCATTCAGACCCTCCTGCCTACTTCCAGGACTTCCAGGACTCTATGGGGAACTTTGTGGAGGATGTCCCCACGTGTGGAGTGTGTGGAAAGACATTCTCATGTACATACACACTAAGGCGCCACGCCATCGTGCACACACGTGAACGTCCTTATGAGTGTCGCTACTGCTACCGGAGCTACACACAATCAGGCGACCTGTACCGACACATTCGCAAAGCTCATGACCACACACTGCCGGCCAAACGCAGCAAGGCGGACATAGAGTCCTCCCTGCCACCACAACCACCGCCACCACCTCCACCACCTCTTAGCTAACATACAAACAGACACATTATTATATTTCTGTACTTATACACACATAAGCATTCAGCTAGTATCACTACTCTAATTCTACCTTTAAACCTGCTGAAAAATAGTTATCTCAAGGTGACATTTTAAAATGTCTGGTTTTGTCCGACCATCTGTTCAAAACTCGAAAAATATTCTGTTTACTATCAGAAAAGGTTAAAGGAAGCAGAAAATATTCACATTTGAGAGTTGTTGGAAGCAGAGAACTTTTTTAATTGTTCTTTTAAAAATGACTCTTAATAACCAATGAATTGACTAATCATTGTAGCTCTGAAATCAAGGTCAAGAGCAAAATTTTAATTGTATTTATTATTGTAAATTATTATTATTATTTTTTTTTTTTTTTCCTTTTATTTAAACACTATCCAAACCACCCTAATGCCTACCCAGACTTTACTTACACTCATACTTTATACTACACACCTAAATTAAATATGACAAATTGTTTTTCTTATTTATACACATCAGGCCACAGACAAATATTTGATTATTTAGTTTTAATTATTCCATAACAGTCTATATTGTAGATTGGCAGATAAACAGTGAACAGTGTGGAACAGTGGGTTAAGGCCCTCTTAACAGGTGGCTTCACTGGTGGCCCCTTTTTTTAAAAAGGCTTTGGAGTATTGCACAAAATCTAAAAGCAGCCATTCATCCGCCTCGTACAATAGATCTGTGCGATCTCTCTGCGTAAGGCCTGGATAACTAAAGTGCCTATGTAAGCCATTCAGAAGATGAATGAACACAACATCATATAAGAGTTTTTATGGTTTTAATAGGGATGATTGGACCAATAGTAAATCTTAGCCCACAAATGTAATAATCACTATAATTACTTACTTAAAATATGTGATCTAATATTATTACATTTAAATGTTTTAATGTTACTTTAATTTAAAACGTGTTTCCTTGTGTGGGACAGTAGTGTGGACTGGTGATTTTTCTCATAAAATGTTCTTTTACCTAAGAGAAGAGCAAAAGTAAGATAGCAATGGTGAATCCCAGAAATCAATGGGTACTAACAAAAATAAGAGAGCATTTGTATATCGCCTCCTGCATCAGGCCCAGTGTTTCCTGCCTCTCTGTTCTACTAAGGATATTTAAACCCCATAAGTACAGAAATACAATAACTCACACACACACACACACACACACACACACACACACACACACACACACACACACACACACACAGAGTAAACACCAGCGGTGTGGCAGTGATATCGACCCTCATTTGTTAAACTGACACACTTTATGTTTGACCGTTGTCTCCACAGGACTCTAAGACTGATTGATTTACTCAAAGTTTTAATTTAAAACTGATTTTATGCTATTGTCTGTTTTCTATCTTTATCATTATTCATATATTTTTATGATTATGAAAAAATTATGAATGATCTTGATTGATTGTTAGAAGATTCAGGAGATGTACAAAAATGTCTCTGCTAGTTTTGCTACATGAACCCAAACAAATAAGGGGAAAGTTGTTTTGAATTTTAATTCAAATGTTATGTGTACGACAGCCTTTTCAGTGTGTGACTCTGTGCCAGCGGACAGAGTTTGACTGACTGCAAATGTAGTAGCATTGTACAGTCTTGTGTTTTCTTTACTTGATGAAACCATCAGAACTGTTAGAAGCAAATACCTGCACAAATACCAATTAGAGTCAGATAGTGCCATTTTAAAACTTTGTAACAAGCCTTTGCTTGCATCCGTTTTGATGAAGCCAGCTCATCAATAGCAGATGCACACAGTTTATCTGATGAAGTAGGACATTTACTGTGCCAAAAGGCCCTTACTTTGCCTTGTTTCTTATCTCCTTCATCCCTTCCCTTATTTCATTTTTTTTAGTAAGAAGTCTTTGATTAGGGTGATTCCTAAATGAGGCAACTGACCCACAAATATCAAAGTGGCAGCTACACAACTTGATGGAAATCTCTAAGTGATAAGGAAAGGTGCTTCCCTTCTCTCTTTTATAAAATAATAGAACAATGGATGATAGTAACCGTCTGTAAATTCAGTCGTATTCTTTTAGCACTGTGGATGTTTTATCCTAACTTATGATTTTGTTGCATCTTTTAACTTTTTTCCTCCATCAGAGTCAATTAATAGTTGTTAGGAATGGAAAATTGGTGTTAATTGTTGTTGCCTACAATCCCTGGTAGGACAGCAGTGTAGGTGAGACAGTGTAGGTTCAGACAAGTGAACACATTTGGGAATCCACCCTCTGTGTGTTTGACTTTGGTTATTATTGTCTTTCCTGTAGTATGACAGGATATACAGTGTGAGCACAGAACACATGCAGTAACTCTGCCCTCTCTTTAAATGTTTAAACTTTAAATGTGCCTGAATGACTGTTGGACAGTTTGTTGTGTGTGTGTGTGTGTGTGTGTGTGTGGTATTACAATTTCTCTATAATGAACATTGACTAGTATTGTAATTACCTTATACACACAAAAGAGTTTTACACTGGATGCTCATAAGGGACAGTTGAGTCAGTGACCATTTAAAGGGTTTCCAGTGTGCTAAATCTAAATGTTACCTTGTGAATAAACACTGTTCAGTAGAATCAATGTGTAAATAGTGTTGAGTGATGTTTCAGTGAATCACACAATGCACAAGTTGGTCAGTCAATATTATCTTTTGTTTTTCTTTACTTAACTACAAAAAAAAAAAAACATATACAAAAATATAAACATCTGTCACTCATGGCTCTGTGACACTGAACTAGTAAACGCTGAGGTGACAACCTTCCACTCATCAGTCTTCTATCGGTCCGTGGAGCTGTGAAGAGACAAAATATCAGCATCCACCTACAAATCTATCTTCCTCTGTGTCCTTGTATTTCAAATTATATTCTAATGAAATATTATTGTCAATGTAGATGGGTTTTTTCCAATTTGGACAGTATTTGTTAAACTGAGGGGGGGAATAAAAGAAGAGGGCCACAACACTATTCCAAAGGCAAATATGCAACCCAGAACTACATTTTTAATTAAAGCATTTTGTATCTACATGTCACACAGACTATCAGCATCTGGACTCAGTTATTACTGAAGGATGCAAGAGGAATCAAAATGTTATTAGGTTGCAGACTTAATTATTGTATTTGGCTTTGATTATCTACTCACAACAAAAATCAGTGTACAGGGACACCACAAATTTACTTTACTGAGTAGAATGAGGAACCGCCTCTAGACACCACAAAAGTACACTTATGATTTATGTTGTTCAAAGAGTTTAAACTTACATTTGTATTAATGTGTGACATAGGTTATACTCGTCTTTCATTAAATCCACCATTTTAAAGTCAGCTGCAAAAAAAGGAAACTCACCGCATCAGCCAACTCTGGCCAATCCATCGCCATCACAACTGTGTCGTCAGAGGTTGGAGGCGTCTCCAGGTTCCAGTAGGTCAGCTTGTCAAACACAGAGGATAACCTCACTGTCCTGTCCTGGACACACACACAATTCAACACAATGTTGTTACAAAATCCTCACTCACACAACTGCATGTCTGATGTTATGGCTCGTGCAGTCAGTGCTATGCCTTATGTTTGACTGACCCAGACTCCTGATCACTTCTAGACAGTTTTTTTTATGTGAAAGATGATATCAGTGATGGTTACCTCTTGGTCAGAGCCGGGCTTGTTGATCTCTTTCAGCACCAATCCAGTGTAGCCCTGTGGACAGCTGAGCTCCTGTCCCTTTAACCCACGCCCTCTGAATGACACTCTCTTTTCTGTAATGGGGAAAAATACGCAAAGGATTTGTTACAGATGTTTATCCCCAACTAAAATAACTTTGTGATAAAAATGTGACTTTTTAAATCTATTTGATGTGACTAGTTGAAGTCCTGAATTGCCAAGTAAATATTAAAATCATCAAATCATATAATTTTACAAAAGCTGTGCATTGTACATTTAGCTGTTTTAACTGATCTGAAAATTCACGCTGGAACATTGAAAGACTGTCAAATTAAAACACGGTCACTAGTGTACAGACAGCTTTTAAGATATCTTGTAAGAGTGAAGAAAATCACCACATTTCGTGATCATCTGTTTCATCTCCACCTCTGTTTTATATTAACTACACACTGTAACAATTCGCTTTAGTCTACAGGTAGAGAGACTTTAAACTATGCAAAACAAAAACAATCTGACAGTGCACCTTGTTTACAGTCTTTGGTGGTGGCAGTGAGGTACTGTGACACCTGGGCCGGACCGTCGTGTTCAATCTCACAGGGCAATAGGTGGACTGGCGCTCGCTGTGCCTGACCTACAGATGACACCTGAACACGAATAACACCTGTGTTACAGGACATCCTGTAACCAGAAGACAGAAGAGAGGACATAAACATTAATGACACCCAAGTACACCCTTGTTCCACATTTCCTTTGACCAGCAACCTTAGCTGTGATTTGAGACATATGAGCCTGAACCCGAAGTATCTGCTGACTGTAACTGTTTCTTTTTCTCGATTAGTGGGAATAATAATCAATATAATATATAATATTATAGTAATGATAATTGATTAACTGCAGGTGTCACCTGTGTCCGTAAATGTAACCATACCAACTGTGATTACAGCAGTTTCTTCATATATACATATACATACATATATATATATAATTAATTATATATTTTTGGGGATACATGTTTGTATCATTAGCTGTCTAATGTTTAATAACTGTTATTGTCATGGCGACGTTAGCTAGCTTTGACAACAACCAGTGTAAACCTACAATAAACAACTATTACAGATTGTGTCATATATATTATCAGTTTCTCTTACACATTGTTAAACATTTGTTAAATGACTTAAATATGGACTTGAGAAACACGACTCCAACATTACCTTTCGGTAGTTTTCCAAAAGTTTCTGTGAAATTAAATGTAACGTTAAATTCAACCGCTTCCGGTTTGCGTCAGTCGCTGCGTGTGATTGGTCGAGAGCGTCTTCTTCTACGCTGAAAGATGTTTTGGCGGGATTGTTCTGTTCTGCCGGAGGATGGCTCCCCCTGTTGGTGAGAGATTATTTTACTCACTTTAAATTTTCTTTCTTTCTTAGAATTTATTTATTTATTCTGTTTTTCTGGCTCCTTTACTTAGCAGGAGGGTGGCATGGAGACTTTACAGGTGGCATAAATATGTTAATTTAGTATCAAACAATCAAATATGTCAATATTTGATTGGAAAATTCCCTAATGAAGATATTTTAAGTCAAAACATTACTGATATTTTTCCAAATACTTGTCTGTGTTCATTGAACAATGTCTACCGAGGTGGGTAATACATTATACACAATATCATAGAACATTGCGTTTATGTGGAATTGCCGTAAAGCAGTTTGTGTTTCTCGCTCGTTCTCACTTCTCACAATACTTCCTATTTCGAACTTAACAGGACGGTATAGTCCCAAAGTTGCAAGGTTGGTTTTCCGCCTGGGGACGCTAGGGGGAGCGGGGAAAGTCACCATTAACACCGGAACAGGCCATTTAACCATCCAAATGATTTCTAAACGGGTTTATTAAGTTGAAATAGTTGCCAAATTCCCCTTTAAGCCTATAACTTAGTCTAAAATGTTTCTATAACATATCATTAAATTATGGGTTCATTTCTGTTTTTTGAACATAACTTTTTTAAATTAATCAAAATAATTATGTTAAATTTGACAGCATTTGACACCAAACTCGGGGCAGCTTGGGTGGACAGACTTTTTTTCAGTAGCCACCCCTCTAGATCCTCCCCTGGTATGAAAGTATCTGCACTATTTATCCATTCACTCTAATTCATTTATCCTGGTCAAGGTCACAGAAATGTCCTTCTGTTATGAAAGAAACCTTTGTTGTTCGCACACCAAATCAAAATGGTAAATGGGGAAATTAGAGCTGTAGAAAAGAAGAAGTCACAAAAGCAGGAAAACAGAGAATTCAGCAAATAAATGTTTTCAACAATGAGGATAAATAGCCAGTTTAAGGATATGAAAAAACAAAATGAATGAATTAACTAAAAATACAGGCTGTCCTTGAAATCAAATTATCATTCAACATTGTCAGAGAAGACAATGTATCAATAACTTTTAAAAAAAACAAAAGGCTTTGGCCCTGTTGTCAGTGTCATGTTCAACACTGAGAACTCTGTTCCAGTTGGCAGCAGCATCTCTCTTCATATGGGATGGGCTAAACCCTGTCCAATGGCAGCTTTTTAGGAGCTAAGGATAAGTTATTGTAGGGGTTTTCTGTTCACAACATTTCATCAAGACAGTGTCAAGCGAGCAAGAGACTTCGGGGGGAAGGAGAAGTGATTTCCTAACAGCTCATACTTGGCTAGAGGTGAGTTTTTTTATAGACAGACAGAGTGCAGACATGTTGCTGTTAGATACTACATGGACATTTTAATTAAACTGTTTTCTTGACATTTAAATTTGGATGCTGAGTTAGAAATGCTTTAGTTTGCCGACAGTGTAATCCTTACCAGCATAACTCTTGATGTGGAAATCTACAAGTCAGTGTTCATTTATGTGTTTAGCAAGTCGTAACGCCCTTCCTCTTTTAATGATTCATTTCTTAAGTTAATGGAATGGAGAAAAGTGATAAACACCATTAATCCACCAACATTATTACACAATACATATTGTGTCAAAACAAACTGACACAATATGTCATTTCGTAGTTCTGTGCTTCTCGATACATGTAATACAATCAGAGTGTCAGCTCACACAGTTTAGAGTCATCTGATATAAAAAGGCCTCTGCTTGTGACTCACATTGGACTCAGTGGTTTCGCGGCTCTCAGTAGTTTCAAAGTGGTGTTTGTGTCCATGGCTTCATGAGATCATGATCACCCAATCAACCACGCTGAGTTCTGTAAACAGACCATGTTTGATCTATATTTCTTTCTTGTTTTTCATAAGAACCAGATAACTGTTTGGATGACATTGAAGATATGATCCCTTTTATTACTTCTTTACAATCACGTTTTAAAACACGCTTGTATGTGGTTGAATGTACCATTCTGAGATATTGGTTGTCTGTGGTTTTGCAGCTGTTCCTGGTATTATGAATCAAGAAAGTTATTTGCGTCCAGGAGATGACAGAGAACCATCTGTCCTTATTGGTCGGGCGTTGCTGAGGCTCCGGGATGCTGTTGTCATGGCGATGTCACGTGCCCGTCAGACGGTCATACAGACCTTTGTTGTGTTCTCTATGGTCTTCCTGCTCCTCTGGATTGCTGCCTTTTTATATGGGAGCTTCTATTACTCCTACATGCCCATGGCAGCATTTTCAACACCTGTGCACTATCACTACAGGTGAGTATGTAAAGTCCAGCTGCATCAGGAAAACACAGACTACAGTTAGTGTGTGTTTGACTCCCCTCTTTCTTGCACTCAGTCATTCCTGTTTTTGTCTGCAGGACAGACTGTGAATCTCCCGCCTCTTTTCTGTGCTCTTATCCAGTGGCCAACATCTCTCTGATGAGGAACAAGAAGCATGTATGTATGAACCTGTGTATGAATAGATCTCTGTCGGGGTATTAAAAAATCTTTAAACTTTCTAAAACGCCAACACAGGTGCTGACATTCGGCCAGGCCTATCGGATCTCCCTACAGCTGGAGATGCCTGATTCTCCGTCCAATCAGGAGCTGGGCATGTTCATGATCAAGACAGTCTGTTTCTCTCAGGATGGAGGCCAAGTTGCCTCCTCTGCTCGCTCTGTAAGTTGCACTAACATTTGTTCAGCTTCTTTGTGGCCACGTGTGTACATACAATCAAATAGTGCTTCATCACCAGTTGCTGCAAACTCCACTGATTCACTGTTGCATTGCTGTGTGTTTCTCAGACAAGACAACTGCTGTCCACCACCAGCTCTCGCTTTGTGAGTACAGCTCTGACGCACAATAACCTTTTAATCACTAAGCCTGATCAGAGCCAGATTAGGGCTGCTTATGCTTGCTGTGGAGCTCCAGTGCAACAGAAGGTGATCTCAGTGCTCAGGTGACTGAGATGACAGGACAAACATGTGAACTAATGACTGATACAAATACAGTGAATTTCGAAATATAAGGGGGACTTAAATTACTTTATTAAACACTAAGTGATCTGGAAAAACATTGTGATGCAAACATGTGCAACAGCCCTCTAATAAATACATTTTTTGCATCCTGGCACTATCCTGGCACTTTGTGATGTTTTTGTATTGGACTGCTCTTGATGTTTTGAATATTCATACATCCCCATATTCTAATTCACCTCACAAACTATAACCTTTAAGTGAAATCCTAAAACTTACCATAGAGCACAGTCAAAAAGTTAAGTTTTTCTTTAAACAAAAACTACTTTAAACTGAAATTTCACTTAATAACATTGGACAAGGGTTTCTATTTTTTGGGCCATGGAAGGAATCAGCTGAGATCAGCTTTTGTTAAACTGAGCACACAACCTCATTGAAAACATCTCTTGGGGATGTGGCATAATACATTTGTAAGAAAAGATTAGATTCATGAATCCCCAGGAGAGTGTGACCTGTGATGGTTTAAATGTCAGGGTGACTTGTGTTTTCTTGCTGTGGTCAGAGCATGCTGCGATACCGTTCAGACCTGCTGAGGCACCTGGGAACGCTACTCTTCCTCCCAGCCTTTCTGAGTGGAGCCGCTGAGCAGAAACAAATGCTGGAGGTGGAGCTCTTCTCAGACTACACAGACGACCCTGTGAGTCTTGCACTGCTTTGTGAATGTGAATGTGTGAGTGTGCTTCAATAGAAAGCCAATATTCTATTAAAGTCTACCTAACAGATTTTTTGTTCATTTACAGTATATCCCCTCGGTTACGGCCGTCATTGAGATCCTGTCCAACAAAGTGCAGATCTACTCATCTCATCTCTACATTTATGCACATTTTACTGGCATAAGGTAAGATGTGTATGCCATGCTTCATAGGAGAGCTGACAGTAAGATGCAGTTTATCTGATGATGAAACATTACAGAGAAGAAAGTGAGGCTGCAATGTATAGTTTGTTGAATAGATTATCTCATTAAACAATAGACAGTCCTTTTTGAAAAAGTAAGGGCTTCATTAACTTCAACAACGCTCAACAATGACACACAGAAAATCTTTCGCAGACACACACATTTCTCCAACAACAGCAGCCTCATTAGATCAGAATTCAACGGCTTTAACAATAGACGGTCTAGAGGGAAAAAAGCAACTCACATTTTCTTCACTGGAAAAACTCATTCTCTTTTGTTTCCACCTACACTTACAGCCCACAGTGGCGTGAAATACAACATGTTCAGATGTTTTCTCTGTGGGTTGCTGGAGGAAATGAGTGAAAAACACCTACTGCCATAGAAGTTGGAGTCAAACTGAGAGAAAGTGGGATAACATCCTTTTCTAACACCTCATCACAGCACATTTACTGTCATTCTAAACGCCTTTCCTTTGATGTCCTTTTGTCAGATACTTGTTGTTCAACTTCCCTCTCCTATCTGCCCTGGTGGGTGTGTCCAGTAACTTCATCTTCCTCAGTCTCCTCTTCGTCCTCAGCTACATGAGGCTGCTGTTCAGAGTGGAATGGGTTCCAACGCAGGTGAGAGGAGAGGCCCATTAGTGCAGACAATATTTAACTTGTCTTTAGCTTCAGGGTTGAGTTTGCTTTTAAGTGAGTGTGAATTATTACCAGACACCTCTCAGGAGTTATACCTCAGACTCACCAGGCTCTATGTGCCTGTTTTCCTTGTTGTTTACAGCTCAGAACAGATGGACTGCTGTCAGATAGGGAAATGAACATGAGCAACAACCAGAAAGAGGATGAAAAAGATGCTGCTGCAGGTACAAAAACACAGGCACAGAGAATTTTAACATTATTCAAGTTATTTACATCAGTAACTTTGTACTGACTACAAGAATAAATTCCTTGACAGGTGCTGCAGAGCTGCTGGGTCCCCTCCAGATAA